ATTTTTTTACAAAAATAAATTATCTACGGGTCAAATTAAACTTAAAATTAATCATACAATCATTATGTTTCTAAGGATATGTCAATTGTCGATAAAAAATTACAGAATCATGTGCATGTGTTGAGTAAATGTTTTTAAGCTTATTAAATGTCTGTATAAAGTGTAGGCCTACGACGGGCCTACCGTAGTTTTTCGGCAGATTATACATATTTCATCATTAGCATTTCAATACGCGATTAATCTAATGGTGATACCCCACGTCAGAATCGTCGTCGCTCGTCAGAGGTCTTAGGACGTGAATCACTCATTTCCCGGAAGACATGGGGGTTGGTTTAAAGATATAACAATATCAACTGTATTCATAATATGAATAATTAAAAATAATTTAAACTTGAGGTTAACTTATCGGAATATGGTCAAGTTTAGTATCATTTTTCTTAAAATTTCATGAACTTTTTGATTGTGCAGGAAAAAAATTAAAATTCCGTCCCGCACAAAAAAGTTCATAATTGCAGTGGAGGTGCTACTAGGTGAATAATTATCGAAACAGCCGCCCAAGGAAGTGGGCGAGCAAGGGACGGCCCCGGCCCCTCAGCAGGTAGTCAAGGGTTCAGACGCCAAGTTAGTGTATACAGACAGTGTACACACTCTAAGCTTCATTTTGATGTGCCATATGCCTATATTTTTGTTTGGTAAATGACCTTATAACCGTTTACATAAAATTTGATTGTATCACTTTAATAATATAATAGATATATGTAAACTAGGTAAATATAGAAATCAAAAATGCATGTTTAGTTTATAAACCAACAGTCTAACCAAACACCCGTATGTGTTGTCTCCTGAGAGTGTTGCATGAATTACAGTAAATGATAGATTTGTTACTGACCAAGTACAGCTGATCATTTAGCCAACAATCAACAATGATCTCAGCTGGGTCCACTTCCAAACCAACATTGTTACAATTGTAATTACAAGTCACATCTTCCAATGGTCCGGAACACAACTTTCTACTAAAGTTTGTAGATTGTGAGAACTCTCCTGGAGGAAATGTCAGTGTTGGGGACCAAGGAAACGCCAACACAGCCGGTAGAAGTAGACACTTGTCTGTCTGTGACCTTGCCAGACTCGCCTTGGCCCACTTTCTCTCTGACTCCGACTCCGACTACAACAACATGACCTGTCAAACCCGTCCATGATACCTACACCCTACTGCCATCGCACCGTCTTGGCTCGGAAATATGTTTTTCGATGTTCTTGGCCTGTAGTGATGCTACTAAAATGTTCATAATTGAGATTAAATATGCACAATAATACATATAAATATTAATTGGTCAGATTATTTTAAGGTTCCTCATCATGTATGGTTTATTTTTATAGTATGTTTTTGTAAGCTGCATACAAATTTAGTATGCATAGAACAATGATTTATTCAGTCTACTTTTAATATAAATTTTGATCAGCTATTTGGGCGGTAAAAAATGCATTAAAACCAGTGAATATTTATTTATTCAACTAATTTTATTGAAATTAACTAAGTTCAAAACTGGTCCCGTCTGTCTTTGATCATTGGGCTTTTGATAAATGGTCAACTATCCCTAAGTTGCCATTAGCTGAATGAGCTATTAGTTAACACCTGTGTCTAAGGAATATGTCGACCTTAGTCACTAACAAGACTACAAGATCGCGCCACTCATCCTACACTCATATTTGGGTTAAAATACGTTTATAGTGGCGGCCCCATCTGAAATAATTTATTAAATTATTGTCCTGACTGAAGAAACCGGGGATCTTGGCAGCAAAGCTTCACTATATAACCACAATTAATGCATCTAAATCTGTTGTATGATTAACTTTTGGATATTAAGTAGCCAAATGTAGCCAATTTTTTCCAAATATAAATAGAGCTTAATTAATTGATTGAGTTTGCTACTTCCAAAGATTATTTATCTCCTCCCATTTGGTACTTTGTAAGTTGATCTTTCCTTTTGGTTTTTGGTTGGTCTACTTGACAAAATTCAGTGATTAAATCAAGAGAGCACATGCTGTCGTTGGTTCATAGTTCAATTCAACTAAGTCCATTTTTTTAACTTCATACTCTTTATGGAAATAGGATGTCTTGGCCCTACTCTACTTCTATAAAGAGTTCAAGATTCTACACTCCTCCTCCACTCATAATTGGGTTAAGATACTAACAATTATGCTGCAAACCCATAAATTCCAAATCAATAAACGGTATCAGCAAACTGACACTTACTTTCTCCCATTAGCTTGTGAACTACACCTATACCATATACCTTTATCATGGGTAAGCAGTGGGAGTAAACTATAATAATTTTGTAGGGAAAAATCACAAAAGTTGCAATAACTTTTGAACCATAATTGTTACAGCAATGGGGGTTGCACTATTTTGTTTAGAATTATAAGGACCTTAACACGTTAATTTTAATCAAAACCAGATTGTTTTCCAAAATACAGTTTTTTGTTATGGGATTTGTTCAAAATTAAAATGACTATAATATACTAAATTTCTATCAAAATCGTTCCGGCTATTTTTGAGAAAATCAAATGTTTCCTTTATTTAATAGGTTTATATGGGAAAAACAACATCAGAATTTCAAAATTGAAAAATACGCCTGGAGATACCATGGATTAGTACCTAGATACCTAATTTCATCAACATCTGACTACAGGCGGTCTGTAGCTCTGTACACATCCACACACACACAGACATCACTTCGAAAACCACTTTTTTGGGTTAAGAAGGGGGACTCAAAACGGATATGTCCACTCAAAATTCAAACTAGAAAATTTTGACGAAAACAATACTTTCTCCATAGGGGGAGAAAGTAAAAATGTAATTATGGATAAATTAGTCGTCTCATTAAAGGTAAGGGTGCGCTCTACCTCAGCTAGTATCGCCGATGTTCTTATAACATTGCGCTAAACAGCGCCATGTTGAGAACTTTCAAGCCTTTTGAGTCTGGGTGATTACATCGTTATCCCCAAACATTTTAGTAAACTACCGGTAACTGCGGATTCTTGTTTTTAGGAATCTATTGCACTTACCCCCGTTTGTTATTTTTTCTCTAAAAATTATTTGTGTGCATTAATTTAATGATAAAAACGCATATTTTAAAATTTTTACCAACCTTTTGACCCAACATAAAAAAATAAAATTTTTAAAAGCGCAGGACCTACAATAATATTTAACGAAAAATATGACACCAAGATAATCTTTTGAATCGGTGAACAATTGGGGCTACAAACTACAAACAGTAAAAACCAAAACCGTTGCATTTGAGCTATCCATACGGGTAGAACGCAACCTTCGTTTCTGTTGCAGTACATAACTGTTATGAAATGATATATTGAATCAAAACTTCTAAATACTCTTCTAAAGGGGTGGTGTTGGATTATTGTTGTTAAACTAGTAAAATACACTTAAGTTACGTTAAGGCAAACATAAGAAATTGTGACATACCATGAATCAATATAAACTATACTTTGTACATTCGTCCATCTCTTAAAAACTCACAATCAAATAGCTTTCTGTGTATCATCCAGCTAAAAAGAATTTTAAATGAGCCTTCGAAAATCAGCTGCAACTCAGCTTACTCTACTGTGCTGGAATGGCGGTAATTTTCTAGCAGGCAATCGCTACGCTTCACTGCGTTAGGTAAAGTTCTAACACAGGATGAAATTTTGTTTTAATAGTTGTGATACGTTAAAAATCCATAACGAACATGACAGAGACTTTAATTCTTGACTTTGAAATGGTGACCATACTATTTTCTAATTTAAGTTCAATAATCAACTTTAAATCAATTGTCAAACATTTCTTTATATTAATTTTAAATTTAGTGTTCTAAGTTATCCTGCTACGATGGACAAAATTAAATTAAAATCCTGGAGCTTGTTAAAATTAGGTTTAATTGTACATAAAATGTTCAAAAATGGTTGGGCTCAATGCGGGGTGCCGTCTTCAATGCAACATGACTTCTGCACATCAGTTAACAAGCAAGTCGTATAATTTTTGCTGAACAAAACTTGTATGAAAATAGATTCATAAAATGTTTGTTCATTTTGATAACTCCTTTACAGAACACCTCTGAGTCCATTTACAGACTTGTAGGATATTTAGGTAGTCCATAATGCCAGGTAATCTCAAGCGAGAGTGAAAAATTGTATATCTGTTGTGGTAAGTTATTTCACAGTATTTATTTGTGTAGAATCAACAAAAAAAATCACAAATCTACCTCATACAATTCTAGATTACCGCTAATCTGGCGTCAACCTAAGTGGTTCTCTCAAATTGAATAATCCTTCTACAGGCACTCTTGGCACTTGGAGAAAAGGTGATAGGCCTAGCTATTATTTTTTCACTTCTCCAAATGTTATAGAAATGGACAACAGTTTGTAATTTTAACCATCAACTTATTAACATTGTACAGTAAAACCCTGCTAGTCTGGTGCCAATCTGAGTTTTTTCTTGATTAAATATTTAGACATACGTTCAGCGACGATGAAGTTTAGAAGTTAGAGAAGAAAGGTAGAGAGGAAACTTTAAATGGGACAGTTAAGTGGTGTCTAGGGCACAGTCCCTCGCCCTCATGAACTGCAACCCACAACCTTGGTGGAGCAAGACCCTGTAGAGTGTGCGATAGGAATTTACTAGAGCTGAAAGCACTTGTTTGTCCCATAAGCAAGTTTCCTCGGTACCTTACTTCACTGTAGTTCAGCAGAGTTCTTTTGGTATGGTCTATGAACAATGGGCAGAGATCGTGCATTCTCGGAAAAATGGTGTTACCTAATCTTAACCTTTTTTTCACTCTACTTTATCGTTACTAAAATACCCTCATGGCAAAACAATAGCCTAACAATTTGAAGACAGCTCTCAATAATCTGTTATTCTCAACAATGCGGAAGTATTGAACGTGTTAGCGAGTGTCTACTGTATACCCATAACATAGAAGAAATGAAATCATTGAACACAACGTAAAAATATATATATATATTTGCTATAGAATCTGTAGAGTAGGTATGTCGAGGTGGTTGTGAGGTGGGAGCATGTACAGGGACGGAGCCAGAGGTAATGGAGGGGGCGGCAGGAGGGGGGAGGTGTGCTGCCGTAGGTGACGAGTCAGGTGATACTTGTGTAGGAACGTCTTGCAGCAGATATCACAGGCGTGCGTCGTCTCACCAGCGTGACTCCGCAAGTGTGCAACCAGAGAGTGCTTGTGAGCGAATGCTTTAGAACACTGTGTACACTGGAACGTCTTCACGTTCTCGTGTGAACGTCTGTGCACCTTCATGGCGTCCTTGGTCCAAAACGCCTTGCTGCACAGGTCACAGGAGAACCGTCTATCACTTGTGTGCTTCATGTAGTGTCTTTTGAGAGACTCGTAGCTGTAGTACGACTGAGAGCACTGGTCACACATGTACTGCGGTTTCTCGCCTGTGTGTGTCTTCAGATGGCACTCGTATGTTTTTCTCTTCATGAAATACTTCCCACACTCGTCACATCTAGAAGTGGATATAAAAACAATATAAATATTTTAATTGAGTTGCCAGACAAAATAATAATATTTACCTGCAACTGAATCTGTGTTTTTAACACACACAGCCAATAGATTTATTTTTATTTTAGCTACACAGTCAATAGATTTATTTTCATTGTTGATGTTAGCCTCCGGATTACGTTGAATATAAAAATTGGTGTAAATACCTGCTTCTTGTAATCCAAAAGAGAGTCGGGGATGAATGGGGTCAGCTGACTGATAACAAGAACAAAGGAATGACGTCACAGCGCCGACCGACCACGTTGACCGGCAGTCTAGACGCTACATCATCCTCACCGGTGTTACCATTTTTAGCTTTTACTCGTTAAATTGTACTTTTTTCGTTTCAATGTTTGTGTCTGAGTTCGTGTTCGTAACCGTGACCATGTTTGTGTATGAACGTATGTGTGTATTGACGTCCTTCTGATGAAGTGATTTGACATCCCCTGGACGCCCGAAGATGACTTCGTGAGAAGTTGAAACTAGTTGCGTCATAGCAGCAACATTTTGGATTACAAGAAGCAGGTATTTACACCAATTTTTAATAGATTTATGTAAAAGATGAAATCAAGAATCATGTCATATTTGTTGAGGAAAGTTTAAAAAGAAGAATAGAAAAAATATATTAATTGGTTTGAACAATAAACATGTGATAATAAGGAATTACATGGGCAATGTACCAAACACAAGAATACTGTAAGAAGAATGTGGGTATATGAGATGAAGCGATATATGGATATATGGAGAAAAGGTGAGTGAAATGGCAGATGGTGAAGAAGAAGATCTGTGAAGAGATAGAAGGTTGATAAGCCTTGTCAACAAACGGACCAGGAATGTTTGTATAACTATGTACATTGTGAGTGACTCACTTGAACGGTTTCTCCGCCTCGTGAGATTTCATGTGATTCTTGAGTGTAGACTTGAGTGGGTAGGCCTTGCCACACACCGTACACAGCCAGGGGCGAGCTTGTGAGTAGTGGCCGCATCTCCTCCTCAGCTCACTCTTGTCTACTGGCCCAGCGGCTAGACACAGCTCACAGGCAAACTGTTCATCTGCTTCATGTGCCTTCAAATAACAGAATCATTATTTGATTGGGTAGGCCTTGCCACACACCGTACACAGCCAGGGGCGAGCTTGTGAGTAGTGGCCGCATCTCCTCCTCAGCTCACTCTTGTCTACTGGCCCAGCGGCTAGACACAGCTCACAGGCAAACTGTTCATCTGCTTCATGTGCCTTCAAATAACAGAATCATTATTTGATTGGGTAGGCCTTGCCACACACCGTACACAGCCAGGGGCGAGCTTGTGAGTAGTGGCTGCATCTCCTCCTCAGCTCACTCTTGTCTACTGGCCCAGCGGCTAGACACAGCTCACAGGCAAACTGTTCATCTGCTTCATGTGCCTTCAAATAACAGAATCATTATTTGATTGGGTAGGCCTTGCCACACACCGTACACAGCCAGGGGCGAGCTTGTGAGTAGTGGCTGCATCTCCTCCTCAGCTCACTCTTGTCTACTGGCCCAGCGGCTAGACACAGCTCACAGGCAAACTGTTCATCTGCTTCATGTGCCTTCAAATAACAGAATCATTATTTGATTGGGTAGGCCTTGCCACACACCGTACACAGCCAGGGGCGAGCTTGTGAGTAGTGGCTGCATCTCCTCCTCAGCTCACTCTTGTCTACTGGCCCAGCGGCTAGACACAGCTCACAGGCAAACTGTTCATCTGCTTCATGTGCCTTCAAATAACAGAATCATTATTTGATTGGGTAGGCCTTGCCACACACCGTACACAGCCAGGGGCGAGCTTGTGAGTAGTGGCTGCATCTCCTCCTCAGCTCACTCTTGTCTACTGGCCCAGCGGCTAGACACAGCTCACAGGCAAACTGTTCATCTGCTTCATGTGCCTTCAAATAACAGAATCATTATTTGATTGGGTAGGCCTTGCCACACACCGTACACAGCCAGGGGCGAGCTTGTGAGTAGTGGCTGCATCTCCTCCTCAGCTCACTCTTGTCTACTGGCCCAGCGGCTAGACACACCTCACAGGCAAAGTCAAAGTCAAAGTCAAAGTCTTTATTGCCATTAAATACAACAGGTACAATAGGCTCGTCATTTAAATAAACAAAACATGCAAAATCAAATTCATCAACAAACAATTCAAATAAATAAGCTCTAGTCAAAAAAACAAAACAAGAAAACATGCACAAACCATGCAGGTGTACCTGAAAATGACTCAAATGGTTACCACCAGATTGCTTTTGTCACAGTTGAAAAATTCGGATATGTGGTAAAAAGGATTTAGAGTGAGCCAATTTTTTACAAAAGTGGAGAATTTTTTTGTGTGTAAATTTCTTGTACTTTGGGGCAATTTGTTGAAAAGTTTAATGCCTGAAACAGGAAAAGAACACAATGATTTTTGAAGCCTATTTCTAGGTACAAAGATATCAAACTTATTTCTAGTATCATAACTATGTACATCGCTATTTACATGAAGAGAGTCCTGTCTGGCTTTTATTGCCACCAGACACTGAAAAATGTACTCATTCACAATGGTCAAAATTTCATTTTCAACAAACAAAGGTCTGCAATGGTCAAGGTACCCAGCATTTGAAATTACTCTAACAGCTCTCTTTTGAATTAAAAGAATTCTCTGAGTACCAGTGGCATGGCCCCACAGCCTGGTTCCATAGGCCAAAATAGACTGAAAGAAAGCATGGTAGGCCTGCCTAACTGTTGGCCTTGGAAGCTCAGACATTAGCTTTCTAAGCAGGAACAACACTCTGCTAAGTCTCTTACACAGGACATCTATGTGACCTTCCCAAGACAGCTTGGGATCCAGTACAAAACCTAACAGTTTTACAGACAAACTTTCAGGTACATTAGGCAAAAGGCTGAAAGTTATTTCCTGGGTTTTCAAATCATTAAGAGCTAATTTGTTTAAAATGAACCATTGCTGAGCCAAGGCCAAAGAGTCATGCACTGCTGACTGAGCCAGGAACCAGTTTTTATCAGACGAAAATAAAGTTGTGTCGTCTGCAAATAGAATAATGTGACTATTAACATGGTAATGCAAATCATTAATGGCAATCAAAAATAAGAGGGGTCCCAAGATAGAGCCTTGGGGAACTCCATGGAGCACATCACCTTTCTCTGAAAAAGTCCCATTCCAACTAACAACTTGTTTCCTATTTGACAGGTAAGAGGAAACCACTTTGAGGGCAACATCTCCTAGACCATAGAATTTAAGTTTTACCAGAAGGGCATTGTGAGGAATGCAGTCAAAAGCACGTGACAAGTCGCAAAGAATTGCGTGTGTTGACTTTTTGGACTCAAAAGACTTGATAATTTCACACACCAAGGACTCTACAGCTAATATTGTCGATTTGGCTTTCCTAAAGCCAAACTGTGAGGGAACTAGGAGATTGTTCTCCTCAAAGTAGGAATACATTTGAGAGAACATTACAGATTCCATAACTTTGGCAAAAACAGGTATGATAGACACAGGTCTGTAACTAGACAAACTTTCACGGGGACCTTTTTTATAAATTGGGACTGTTTTAGCTACTTTTAGGGCATCTGGGAAACAACCAGTTGCAAGACAGTTGTTTATCAGAATTGTGAGCTCAGGTGCAACTGTGTGTATAACTTGCTTAACAATATCTGTTGACAAATCATAAACATCCCTACTTTTAGAGGCTTTGAAGTTGTGAACAATCTTTACAATATCATTTGGTTTTGTGGGAGTGAAAGAGAAACTTGTGTTTACCCTGGGAATATTAACAGTAAAATTGGCATCTACAAAAGGTATATCAGGTATTTTCCCAACAATATCGTTGACACTTTGGATAAAAAATACATTAAAATCAGTTGCTGAGAACTTCGACTCCAAGTTCACTGTTGGTCGAGGTCTGCTGTGATTAATCAAACTCCAAGCTGCCTTACATGGGTTGGATGAGCCTGTGATGAAAGCAGCGTTTGCAGAAATTTTTGCGCTTTTAATACCGTGGCGATACTCCCTGCGCAGACTTCTTACCAAGGGCAGTAACTCAGGCTGACTCGTGGACTGCTCATGGACCAGCATGATCCAGTTCTTCAGATGAGCTAAATCCTCATTATACCAATCAATCTTGCTAGGTGTAGCGTGCAATTTAGTTTTAGGCTGTGAGATTCTTTTTTTCTTTAGAGGAAAACAGAAATCAAAAATACATTTAAAACTATTTAGGAAAAACTCAAAACAGTCTTCGGGAGAAGAAAACATAGTGTGGGCCAAGTGTAAGCCACTAACAGCCCTTGACTGCAACGATTCAGTAAAATTTAGTACTGCATCGTCATTAAAAGACCTGAAATCAACAAACTTGTCTACAGAACAAAGACTATTTATATGTACACGGTGAAGGTTTATGTACATAAATACATGTTTGTGATCAGCCACCTGATCTCTGCTTACACCTGCTTTAAAATCAGTCTTACACATGTTAGTAAATATATTGTCTAGAGGAGCAACACCACGAGTGGCCTCGGATATCACACCGTACAAATCAAAGCTTCGCAATAGGTTCTCAAAGTCCTTGGCATCACTGGGGAAATAGACAGGGTTCACATTATGATCGGTACCTATTATCACATACCTCCCTAGTGTCAACAAAAATACTAAACATTTTTCCAGTATATCAAAGAAATTACCCATTTTACCGCTCGGTGATCGGTACATAGTTACAACCACCAATGACAAGTCTGTAATAATTGAAGCAGAAAATTCAACCTCTTTTTCTACACTGTACATTGAGAGGTCCAGAGGCTTGACAGAGTAATTAAGTCTATTATTGAAGTACAGAGCCACGCCTCCAGTTGCAGACGTACGACAAAAACTATTAATTAGTTCCAAGTTACCAATACTTTTATAGTATTCAATTTCATCTTCAAGCAACTGATGTTCACAGACCATAAGGAAATCTACTTGATTGTCAGAGCATAATAATTCAAGTTCGATTGTCTTATTCCGCAAACACTGAACATTAATCAAACATAGGTTAAGCCTGACACAGTCTATTTCAGAATCAGTAGACTCAACACGATCTTTGCAAACTATTGACCTAAAAAAGGCTTCACATGTGTAGGACCAGGTTTTCTAGGAGTGAATTCCCTAATTAGAGTCCCTACAGGCCAAAAATCAGCATTCAAGATACCGTCAAAGTCATTAACTGGCACACCTACCTTGAAAGATGCATACGTCGGATACTTAGAGGTTAGTTTGACACAGTCAACACTTTTAATACCACCTCGTGTCACATAGTCCACTATAACTTTTTCAGTTACCTCTGGTTGACATCGAGAGATAAACAACCACGATTTCTTCTCCACAATTTTAAGGCTAGAACTGCCTTCATTAGACCCAAAATCAGTTTTTGTGCCAATGATAGGTTTCTTATTAGCTACCTTTTTGACAACAGGCGGATTTTTCACTATTCCGGCAAAACTAGTATTCAGAGGTCTAGGTCTAGGTTGACCAAGTTTAGGCTTAGTAGGCCTACCACCGGGGATGGTTTCAGTTATCAAGCTACGGTTTGAGTCAGATAATGTCTGATTATTTACACAAATATTGTCCTGATCTACTATGGGAAATTGCTGACAAGACTTAATCCCACCTACATTATTCACATCTAGGCCTACACCTGGTTGACCTTGGTCAAGGTCATGCATAGAATTTGGCTTTCCAGTCTTAATAAACTCGTCAAATCTTTTGTTTAGTTTGATATTGTCATCTACGACACCCTTTACCATAGATATCAAACTCACAACAGAAGAATTCAAAGTAATGAAGTCGTCAACATTGCCAATACAAGAACGTAATCTCTTGAGGTTAGAACTACACGACTCACAGAACCACGTACATTTGTCATTCAATTTTGCTATTTGCTCATATTCATTCTTAGATATATTTACGCATGAGATGTGATACCACCTCGAACAAAAACCTTCACAAGCTAGTGCATTATTATTACTTTTCACTAATTTGAAACAACTACCACAATTCGGGTCAAGTATACTATCCGCCATGACAGTCCAATATATCACAGGCAAACTGTTCATCTGCTTCATGTGCCTTCACATAACAAAATCATCACTTGAGTGTCATTATGATCATTTAAATGATAAATAGGATGGAGTTTCAATCATCCAATCTCCTGACTTTTTTCTGTTGGGTCAATGATGGCAAGACTGAAAATGTTAGTGGGTCTGTTGAGACAACCCTTAAAGCTATTCCCGACATAACTTCCCTTTGTTTCCGTATGCTGCATACCATGGAATTTAAAAACACAGTACATCAACTTTTCATACCTGCAAACCTCTCTGTTACCATTAAAAGTATTATGCAAACGGAATAATTGTGGCTGTAAGTATAAACTAACTAGCCTACCTTCATATGAGCCCGATAAGTGCTTTTGTAGACAAATGTTTTGCAGCACTTGTCACAAGAGAATGGTTTGTTCCCTGTGTGCAGGGTGTAATGCAACTCCAGGTTCTGGGCAGACTTGAACGGCCTTCCACAGATGTCACAGTTGAACAGGCCTTCTCCGCTGTTGAAAATAGTCAGTGATAAAGCCTTGATATTCATAGGTAGGTTTAAAACCTGGTTATATCAAAACCAGCATATAACCATTGCTAAACATAAGACATCTAGAAGTGTTAAAGATGCAATAGTTACAGCAATAGTTATAACTCTGACCACAGTTAGTTCTTATCCTTAGTGTAGAATTAAGGACTATTATCCTTATCTTGAATATTTATGGTACAGTGTAGAAAATATTTGTTTGGAGGCAAACATATGGCTTCTTCAGCCAGCTGCCAGAAAAAAGATGTAAACAAATTTTCTGTGCTATGTTATAAAATTGATGAGCCTAAAAACAAAAAAAATATTCCACCTTCAAATAGCTAAATCCACGTTATTTAACCATTGAAGTCCCTCTTTCAAGGCTTTATTTGGATGTACGAGGGTTGTCCGTAAATTAAGGTCTCCATTATACTCCGGTCGCAGCCGAGCATGCAAGTTCAAACCTCAGACCAACATCGTTTTACTTACTTCATCCCCTAATATGCAGGCCGTTTCCTAACCCTAAGTGACGATTAGTCTTAGTAGTAGTATATGTAATAGTATTACGAAGGTTGTAAAAGAAAATTCATGTACCCGCCAAGTATAAATTGCAATTTGTGATAGGTATCTGTAGGAAGTTGATCAATCCCTGTTGATTATTGTTTAAAGGGGACAAATGTGATGGCAGAAAAGTTTCTTTACATAGAAAATGTGAGTAAGTGGTTTAAGGCGTAAGCAGAAACATTACACATTTGCTCTACAGGGCCGTCATCCTAAAGTCATCAATTTCTATCGATGCAGCTATTGAGTTTAAGGTAGCTTTGCTTGCTAGTCATCAAATTTCAGACTTCCAAGCCAAGGAGTCATAGACCGTAAATATTCTTAAAGATTAGTCTATTTTTAGCTCTCTCTTTCAGTCCCAACGTGATCCTGCAACAAGCTATTTTGCTAGTGGGGGTCAGGTATTGTTTTATAACCGGGTACCTATTGTTGACATCAACAAGTGGCAGCAGCGAAGCGAGGTAGCGCTCTTTGACCCGTCTTTTCAGTTATGATAAGTCTAGGGTATCTTGGAACTTCAGGACAGTTTCGGTTGGAGATTTGGAGATTATTGCATGATTGTTTGGTGACTTAATTCAACTTGTTTACAGTGCCCGTGTAAGAGCCAGCCCTATACCGGTTAGACCTGGCTTTCGGCCTAGTGGTTTACTTATCACAGACCCTAGAATTTTACCCAGCCATTGTAGGCTGAGGCTATCCTGGGCAAACGGGTGCGACCGCAGAATAGATATATGGCCTATATATATTTTTTCAGTGCAGGAAAAGTGCGTCGCAATCCAACTTTGTTCATACTTGGTGGAAGCAATAATTTTATTTTACAATGTATTTGATTACTATGACGATACTATAGCTATTATAGGAGTGAGGACAAGCTAGTATAGTCAATGGAGTAAGGAAAAGGATGCTGGTCTTACTCTCAGATTTGAACTACAGTCGAACCTCGTTGGTACGAACCTCGGTAAAACAAATTCCGCAATAGGACAAATTTTTGTAAATCCCCTTGAAACTTTCATAAAGGTTAAAGCTAAAAACACCGCTATACAACATAATAATTAGTTTGGTATTTAACTATATTACTAGTAGCCCTAAAGAGTGAATATATATATATATATATATACCGGTATATAAGTCATTATTTAGCTTTTTAGTTTTAGCGCTTGCGGACACATTTTGAGGTTTTCGCAGGCCGTTGCAGACACGTAGGAACCATTCTGCTTTGGGGGTTTAAACACCTCCATAAGACGAATTTATATGTGACATGGGCTCAGACTGATTAACTTCTATACAACCAATATTCTTAGCACAACACCTCTACAAGACAAATGCTTTATCCATAACATGACTTTCTCATGATCTTAACCTCCATAGTACGTAGTTTTCAAAACAAACAGAAGCTTGTCTCAACATGAAACCCCCACCCATCCCTCTTCCGTCCTCTCCTTCCTTCTCAGAGCGCGGAGAAACTTCTATAAGACAAATAACGGCAGTATTAAACGAAATAAAGCGAACCCTTTTTGTAGAGTGTCCCATTAATACAAATTTTTCCCCTATCCCTTGAAATTTGTCTTATAGAGGTTCGAATGTTGTTTAACTAGGCTGCGACTTGAGCGTGATGGAGGCCCTAAGTTACAGGCAACCCTTGTATTTTATGTACAGATTAAAAAAGTCTTGTACATGAGAACCTTATTCATTGCTTGTAAAAAAGATTAACATAGCCTTTAAAATCAACCTGTGTTGTATAAATATAATCTTAACTTTACGAAATTTCACCTGTGTACAACTCTCATGTGACGAGTAAACATCTTCTTCAGTCCGAAAGTTTTATCGCACTTTGTGCAGGTAAATGGGGCTTCGTGAGTTTTCATGTGAAAGAACAAGTTTGTCTTTGTTTTGAACATCACACCGCATTGGTTACACCTGAAGTTCCTCACTTCATTGTGAGCTCTTGCATGAGTCGCAAGGTGACTTTTCTCTCGGAAACGTTTACCACAGACTGTACAGTCGTATGAGCTCGGTTTCAAGGGTTTTATCTTTTTCTTACTTCTACCATCTTTCCTGACATTCGGCTCACACTGATCACTACTCAACACAGTATCCGCTGTGTCGTCATCTTCAATGTTGCAACGGGTGTTTTCTTTACCTTTTGACTTAACAAAATTTGTTCCTTTTTCAGTCTTATCTTTTAATTCAGAATCATTGAGGTTTTGTTCGTTAGGTAGAGACTCTGATAAAACTTCCTCAGGTAAAACGTGCGTTTGTTTAATTTCTTGAGAGGAATTGTGATGTTTTGGCTTGCTTCCCTTGCATTTATCATTTTCTTCTTTTTCAAGCAGTACTTCTTTAGTCTTAAGTGATCTATTAGTCAATGTAGGTCCAGCATCTGAACTGTAAAAAAAAAAATAAAATTCAAATAACTTATTCACTTGATTTACTTTTTTGGTGAATTTATATTTAAACAAATTTTTTAGTTATAGTAAGATACTTTTAAAGTTTTTACCATTTAGGTCCTAAAAATGGACAATCATGTGTAGTTAAAAAAAATCACTAACAACTATCTATTCCAGCGACAAATATGACTGAAAGGCGAAAGCTTGCCTGGCATGTTCTGCAATCTGGGATTGCAAAACAATCCTCGTCTCTGTGAGTTCTGGTGAACAACTCATACAGAGTTCACTAGTCTGTGGGAGAGGTAACCAAAAATGGAGGACTAATTGGACATAAGTTGACGGATTGCCCCAATCTCATTACCAAGATGAATTTCTGATGAGGGATTCTGCTCATTTTTGTTTTATAATTTTTATTTTTTTTAATAAGATTATGAGTAAACACAATACATGGGCATAATTTAATAAAATTGCAGGGTGGAGGTAAGAATTGCACATCCCAAACTTCATTATGATAAAATGGATACATTACCTACTGCTACTAGAAGAAAATCCAGCGGCATTAATTTTTGGAAACTTCTTTTTTATAGGTCTCTTTGTAGCAATTTTCATTTGTTTTTTTATATTATCAGCCTTTTCCTTAGAAACATTATTAAGCTGGATTTTGTTATTTTGTTTTCTCTTCACACTTCTAAGAGCTTTTGTTATTGAAGCATCAGTAACTGAATGTATTCGAGAAAGCTTGTAATTTTTTGAAAACAGGGACTTTTCGAAGCTTTCAGACGAACAGATGGTGTTCATTACTTCATCCGCTTCTTCAGGATTATTTTTTACAAAAAGTAATAAATTTGGTTCCAAATCGTCTTTGACCAGTTGTTGAGAAACCATCATTGATTCAATTTCAATCTGAAACATAGCCGAAATGTATGAGTACTAAAGACAATGCACTTGAAAGTCATAATAACACAACTAATTGTAGAAAAGTAAAACACAAAGTCCAGCTGAAATAAGATCCAAACAAAGTTAAAAGTCAAAATGTTTAAAATAAGTTTTATCAGTTTCATAAATTTGGGGCCGATTGTGGTAAGCCTCTAATGTGATCCCTTGCGGCCGTGTAGATATAATTATTGTCTCCCTTCGCCGTATAGACATCTTAATCGTCTCCCGCGATTGGAGCAAAATGTATTTCCGGCGGTTGTGTACACATCATCATCGTCTTCTATGATCGCGGAAATATATAACATATCCCGCGGTTGTGAGGAGATTATCGTCGACTACTGCTAATGAGGCAAAATTCTGATCTTTTCCCTCGGTCATGTATGTACATTATCATTGTCTTGCGCGATCGCAGTAAAATTCTGATAATCCCTCGTGGCAGTGAAGATATCATTATTGTATCTTCCTCGGTCCTGTAGGGATCACAATCGTCTCCCGCGGTCCTGAAAACATTGTAATCGCAACCTGCAATTGCGGCAAAATGTTAATCATATCACGCAGATGTGTGAAGATCATCATCGTCTTCCGCAGTCATGGCAAAACTCTGACTTTTTCGCGCGGTATTGTGGACATTATCATCATCTTCCGTGATCGCGGCAATATTCTGATCATCGCTTGCAAGCTCTGTATCATCATCGTCTTAGGCCATTGCGGCAAAATCATAATCATCCCGTGGTCGTATAGACATTATCATTGTCTTCTGCGATCGCAGCAAAATTCTGATCATCCCTCCCAGCTGTGTGTAAACATATTATCGTCTCCCACAGTTACAGAAACATCACTGTTGTCATGCGCGATCGTGGTAAATTAAAAATTACAGGTAGAAATACAAAATTCACTCATAATTACCAATTCAAAAAAACTCACGCATAATTCCTGGATTTCATGGACGGTGGACACCCTGTATATATATTTCAAAGGGGCGCTACTATTGTCAAAAACGGGCCTACATAAATCTCCTATAAGAAAAATTTTATTGTTCCAGATTATAAATAAAGCTCAAAACAGTCAGGGCAAGAAACATATTCTTTCTAGTACCAAAAAAACATATTTGTAGTGAAACTAAAACCCAACGTAAAGGAAGAGGTGTCCATGTCGCGTATTGAAGTCAAGTATTACCTACAATACCTTGCAACTCATTATTTTGATCATTGTTTGTTAATACAGTAAAGTTAAGCAACGGTAGGCCTACTAAAGTCAACATGACTATCAGAGGAAACATCAACATACATTTTAATTATTTACAGTTATAGTACAATAGTTATTATAATTATGATAAGTAATAAAAGAGGGTCGTCTCAGAGCCAAGAATGTCAACTGTGAAAGTTGGAGTGTGGTCATAGAACAGTTTAAAAGTGTTTTTAGACCGTTTTAGGTGAGTTGGGGGTTAGAACAATTACCAAAAATTGAAAAAGGTTTTGTTTAGTAGTAGTTGAATGATGCATATCCAAATTCCTACCAAAAGTCACACAACACAATAAATAAAATAACATTCAACCAAAGATGCCTTTTAACTTACCAGTGGCTCCTCTTCCAGTCCCTCTTCATCACTTTGTGAGTAATCAGGCTGACAGAGTTCAACAGACGAAGTTACGCTGATGCTGCAATCTATCATATTATCTTCAGACTCTGGCTCAGATTTGACTTCCATGTCCATCTCTACCTCAACCATCTGCCGAGACAACTCTACTGCATGTGAGCTAGTTGGTATGGAGGTTTGCGTCATTCTGACCTCACTGAATAAAAATATACAAAATTAAAAGATATTATAAAATAGAGAGGCCTACACAATAGGATTGCTAGGCATATTTGCGTATAATTAGACTTCATGCATTATTGGATTTTTTTGTAAAAGCAATGGTTCAAACCTTGTTTAGATAAAAATAAAAGTCGGAGATACTAGGAAGTACCTTTAGTACCGGTAGCCTACCTATTTTTACTATTCATCACCATGAACCTACAGAAGGTTCTCTGTGTGAGAACACCAAGATTTTGTAATTAAAAATATTTTTTTTTAAGTGTACACACAGTTCTGCAGAGAACCTGTGATATAGCCTGTTATAGGATGTATTCGGCCTATTTTATCCGTATAACTTACAAAAAAAACTTAACTTATTTTGGATTAAGTACTAACATAGGTAGTTTAATATCAAACAACTACACAGGTAGATAATTTATAAGTAAGTTAGGGCCTACCGCCTACGTTTATATTTGACATGATACCTATGAAACTAACTTGACCTTTCCTAAAATGTGACCAAACATATAAAGTTAATTACTAAGTTATGGTCATGATAAGAGCAAAGTACAGTACCAGGTTTTGTAATCCTGTTAGTCCTGGGATTAAAAGCCACTAATCTCAGTATTTCAAGGAATTACAAACCGTCTGGGATTCCGGGATTGAGACCCCTACTTGTATCGGATTTTTTAACTTATTGACTAAGATCAGCTGTTTATTTAGCCACATTAAAAGCCCAGAGATCAAGGACAGCTGGGCCAAGTTTCAAAATTCTATCAATCAAAAAGCTACCGGTAAGTTACTGAAATTTCTTAGGAGCGAACGGGTGATCTTCTGATTGTTATGCAAACATTATAACCACTTAGATACCTATCTAAATATGCGAGAGACCTCATTAAGTTCCAATGTTAACAAAGATAAATTAATCGTAGAACTGAAATCTAAATTGTGCCATCAATTTTACCAAGTTATGTATCAATAAGTTACAGTAGAATAAGTTAATGAGAAGACAAGACAATCTACCGACTTATCAAACCCATAATCAAATACCCCGCTACAGCAAACCTGCAGACTAAGCGAATTTCCAATTGCCTGATTGGATTTAGGCCTATACTAAAATGTCTTCTTAAAAATATCACATGTATACCCTATTTAAATAGAATTAGTTTAACGAGTACTTAGATTTTCTACAACAGGGAGGGTAAAAGTAATTTTTTGTCAAATTACTCGTTTGAATTAGTAGGTATGGGAAATTCGCTAAAAGGCTTGTTTTTTGGCTGCATGGGTATGGTATTGCTTGGTAAGTTATTTAATATACCTACCAATTAATTTAACTCAAACTTGAGTTATAGCCCATAATCTCTCTTGAGAGGTCAGTAGTCTTGAGTAGTGGTGGGAATCACCGAATTAAAATACTGTACTTAAAAGAATCAATCGGTTATTGATGTTAAACAGACTAATTCGGCTATTTTATCCTGATTCGGTTGAATTAAGTTAGTCTTACCGAGCGATTTGGTGATTTAACAAAAAGTTTGTTAGTTAAATTTATTTTACAATTTTTAATTTTTACCTTTTTGGTGTTATATCTCCTAACTTATAAATTATTACAATCTGATATTTTTAACCCTAAAATCGTTAGCCTACACTAAAATATTACTTTTATAAATAAAGCAGACAAGTCGAAAACAGTTATCATAAGGACGTAAGTAGGTACAGTAGAACCTCGATAGTTCGACACTATGTAGACTTAAGTTAAGGGGTGTCACTATCGAAATGTCGAACTATAGTAAATGGAGTTTAATATACAGAAGGGACAGTGAATAGGTAGGCCTAATGACTAAAATTGATTCAGTGATTCATTCAACTAAAAATAACGGATTGACGCTAAAAATAACTGATTGATATTCGTCATGGAAACCATTCATTATCCCATCTTGAGGAATCATAACTGAAATAAGTTATGTAGGCCTAGGCCTAAGTTTAATCGCCAAATTAATAATCGAATCACTGTGACGATAACTTATGTTTAACTAGAATGAATAAAGAGATAAAAAATCCATTGACCAGAATAGCCCTAACTTAGGAAAAAAATGTACTTTTATAATTGTGTAAACTTACATTGATTTTGAAACTCATCATAGTATCATAACAAGTACCGTACATAATAATCACTAACCTCCATCCATTTTTTCCCAAACTTTCATAAAAAAACAAAATTAAAACGCCTATTTTACCCCTACATCCTGCTATTTCAATAGGCTACATTACAAATACTGTACAAAAAATACAAAATACAAAACAAAACAATGAAATGAAAGCCACTTAACCCAACATAACAAAACAAATCAAACACAGCAACAGCAACCCAACATTCCAATCCAAATCCTGTTTGTTGTTTACAGTGATGTCAAATAAGTGGTTTAAAAGTAAGATTTCCCTTGCCTATATACTCATTGATTAGATACAGATTAGTATGTATACTATGTACTATGTGTGTCGCACATGTCCATAACATCTTTATCTAGGGTTAAACCACATTTTTATCTATGGTTTAACTGGTGGACATGACTATTTAGTTAGCTTAATAATAATGGTTTTTTGTGTTATGTTAGTTTATGATAATGGTTGACTATAAATACCCCCACCACAGCAAACCTGCAGACTAAGTGAATTTCCTTTTGCCTAATTGGATTTACATTAAAATGTCTCATATCATATATATCATAAATATCATAACGGTCATGACAGACTTAAATTCTTGACTTTAAACTGGCGACCATACTATTTTCTAATCAAAGTTCAAAATAATCAACTTTAATCAATTGTCAAACATTTCATTACATTAATTTTAAATTTAGTGTTCTAAGTTATCCTGCTACGATGGGTAAAATTAAATTAAAATCCTGGAGCTCGTTAAAATTAAATTTAATATTGTACATAAAACTTTCAAAAATGTTCGGGCTCAATGCGGGGTGCCGTCTTCAATGCAACATGACTGCACATCAGTTAACCCATATGCATAGTCTTATTTATTTACCAAAAAAACCAGTTACACTGAAACGTTAAAATGAAAAAAAAATACCCCCGCCACAGCAAACCTGTAGACTAAGCGAATTTCAACTTAATTGTCATGATTACATTTTTACTAAAACTCTCGATCCATAAATAAGACATATTTATTCCCAATTTAAATAACATTTAACAAGTGCTTAAGTTTGCTGCTACGGGGAAGGTAAAAAGTGTTTTTTGACCATACGTCAATAGAATAGGATGAAATAAATAAATTTGCCAAATTTTATCAATATATATCCATAAACAAGTAAACTACAACAGTTTTCATTTTCTCCATAAGAATAACATAGGAATTTTAAATTACACTATTTTTTTAATTTTATCTGTGACAATTAGGCATACAACAGTGCTTAAATATACTAAATTATTTCTTTTTTTAAGCTCTACAAGTACAAAATGGTTTAAAAAGAAATTGCAATTTATTTTTGTTTTTAGAGGGTCAAAAATGGGAAAACCCCATTTTTACCCCATAAGACCCCCCATAAAACCCCGTTCCCATGATCCGATTATGCTAGTTCGCGAACTCGTTCGAATAAATGTAGGTTTACACGTTTGTACCAAATTTAATCAAAATCGGATCATTTTTGCTCGAGTTATCGCGCTAACGGACACACACACACACACACATATATATATATATATACACATATGTATTTAAATTCTAACTTATTTGAGAAAATTTACTGGTTGAAAATTTAAGGGGAAATATTAATCAATCATATAACAATTATAATCTATGTTCTTATTACAGTATCCTCTACAAATCCCAGAAAAACAATTTAACAACTTGATGCTTAAACAGAATCATAGCATCAAAAATATTTAAGTATTGCGACCATTTCAGCTGTCGGCTCCTCTTTAACCGCTTGAAAACTAGTAATATCAACAATTACAAATAGCTCAGGAGGTAAGGTAAGGGTGTCATAAGTCAAAGGTACCCGGTTCAAAACTCGTCTGGGCAAAAATATTGTTGTTTCTATTTTTTCCCAAAACTTGTTCTTATGAGCTATTTAATTAAAATACTTTACTGGTAAAAATGTTTTTCAGACTAAATATTTATTATTTTGTGTTTTTGTGTATAAAATCCTGGTGGGATATCCCAGAAATATCCTGGTGGGATATCCCAGAAATATCCTGGTGGGATATCCCAGGGATCAGGATTTGGGCGGACATAGGGGGATATCCCAGGCGGAGTTCCCCAGGATACAGAGGATATCCCCCATATCCCACTGGAATACTCCGTTTGATAACAGAATTCTGAAATGAAACTGTTCATCCTAACCAAACTTTCTGTATCATTTCAAAAATTCCTTCTGATAGCATAAATGGCTTTCGCCATAGCCACCTCTCTTTCGCTCCATCAACTGTTATAAAACGTTCAATTCTTAACTGAATATGCTCGTCTTTTTCTTTTTTGAAATTCTTTTAACGCTTCAAAATAGCAAAATTTTAAATTAAACTCCATCTTTACCGAAATTTAGGAGAGTAAGTATTAAGTAATTCAAAATGGCTTCTTTCTAGAAAAATGTTATGTAACTGTTCCCTTGTCATTATTTTGTAATACAGGAACTGCAACGGGAATGGGTTGTGACGTCATCTTGACGTGCGAATAGTCACTTCGTATTTTTCTTCTGCCTTGATTTTACAATCGTCGTGACAACTCAAGACGTATGGAGTAAAAGTACTTTTCCTACAGTTACCTAACAATGTACATGTTCTCTCACTGATTTGGGAAAGCAAAGTGGCCAATTCGCTCACCAGTGAGACAATGTTGACATTGTCTCACTCTAATTACTTTGTCTCACTCCAGATTTGCAACGTGAAGGCACGAAATAGTGAGCGCGTAACATGCAGGCAACGTCGTATGCGCGCGAAATACGTTGGCAGCACTGGCTGTAAATCAGCTGGTCAGCTGTTGTACTGTTGTATTTGTCACTTCATTAAATGTTATATTAAAAGTTCACTTCTGTGTAAAAATAGGTTATGTTTCTTCATGTTTCTTCACAAATGTTTTTGTTTTATGGTAACTGTAGGAAAAGTATAATGTGCAACTCGAGTTCAAAGTACAATTGCCTCACTCAAGAAACCATTCCTCACTCGCCTACGGCTCGTGAGTAAGGATTTCTCTCGAGTAAGTCAATTGCTCACTTTTCTCACTAGTTACACAAATAACTATTTACTCCATACATTTTGGCGGCCGGGACTTCAGTGACGTCATCACGTGCAGTCCGCTCTGTCTGGCCCACCTCTTTTTCTTTTACTCCATACATCTTGACCGCTGTCCGCTACCCGCTATTCGCTCTCGTCGCTCGCTGTTTGCTGTTTGCTGTTTGCTGTTATAGCAGTAAGCCAGTGTTTCCATTTGAGGGATAAAAATCCCTTTCTAGGGATATTTAGGGCCTTCGAGGGATTGAAAAGGGATTGAGGGATAACTAGGGATAATCAGCGAAATTGAAGGATTTTTTAGATTTTCTAGGGATTTCAGGCCTTTGACAATATAAAATTGAAATATTGATAAAATAATACATTATGGCTATATTTCAACAACGTTAAGGACCTATTTTGGCTAATTTTGCAAGGTATTGATAACACATTGATTATACTACTTTTCCCTAGGTTTTGGTTTTGGTAACAAACAAATCGATTGTAGCATAGATAAAAGATACTCCTCAGTCCTCAAAGAGTATGTTTTATCTATGGTTGTAGGTAGTGGTAGTGACGTAGTGTTTCAAAGTCGGAACACACAAGGGGAAGAGTAACAGCTGGGAACAGCCAACACTGCACGAAACAAGCAAAGGGCTGGAGTCACTGAGCTAAAATTATAACTGGAGGTAGCACTGCCATGGCAGAAGTCTGTCAAAAGCGTGTCGCTGATTTTGTTAGGTTGGTATAGCAGCGAGTTTTCTTATCATAGCAATAACATGGCTTCTATAACTAGATTACATAGCAGTGAGTTTTTTTATCCAATAACATGGCTCCTTATAAACTCACACCTCACGCAAACATGGCGGCTGGCGACACGCATCTTTGACATTCAGTGCTACCTCCAGTTAGAATTATAGCTCAGTGGCTGGAGTCGGTCGGTGGAATGGAATTCGGTGGATCTAGATTACTGTGATTTGTTTCTTTTAGTACTCTAAAGCCCTGTGCCCTGTGTCTATGTCGAATGTTTGTTTTCGTTTTGATTTTGTTTGCCGGTGATTTCTGTGATGTTTTTTTGGCTAGTAAGTAACTTGGTGTAACCTTTTCACCAAGGCATGGTGGCCATGTTTGAAAAAGACAATTTAAGTTTTAAATTTGGACACTTGAGTAATATTTTTGAAACAATTGTAAAGACTTATAAATAAAATGTATTAGTTTATAAAATTTTAAAAATAATTATTTGTTTCATTTTCTAGTTAATTAATCTTGTTTTTTACAACATAGACAGTTTTTAATCACGGCTACCTTTAATTCCAGGACGGAGGCCGCGGCCTTCGAAGTGGCAACGTTGCAAGTATAGTGTTGTAAAAGGTGTTGTAAACTGGGCTATGAAAATGTTGACTCCACATTGAATGTACAGAAATAGATTTTCAATTTATATTGCTTTGGTTTTCGATTCTATATTATGTTTTATTTCCATGTTAACTTATAGGACGTCTTGCGCTAAACAATAATACGGTACTTGCAACGTTGCCAATTCTACCAGGCCGCGGCCTGCCTGGAGTTAAAGATGGCCGTGGTTTAAATGGACAAAAATGTTTTTTATATAGTATTACTTTATAAATAATATGGGATATTGAAGAATACTATCACCAGTTACCATATTTTAGGTGGCTATACATGATATCCATTGGTATTGCTGCAAAAATAATAAGTTATCTAGATTTGATGAAGAGGGATAATTGGAGGGATTGTTAGAACACGGACTAGGGATAACTAGGGATTTTTTGACGTCGGCCCAGGGATATTTTTTTCTTGCGAATGGAAACACTGCAGTAAGCACTAAGCAGTATAGTGATAATGTAACCTAAATATTTTTGACCAGACTTTGTCTTTGTTTTAATATAAATCGGTCTTAAAATATAATTAAATGTATCGTATTGTGAAGTTTCCTAGTTTCCGAATTTCTCGACCCCAAACGATTTCCACGAAATTGTGTGCTTTTTGTAGAATCAACGATGTGACGGCAACCCATAACCTTCAATGTAAGTAGAGAGCATGCACTATGAGAAAAATTATATTTTTCATTGTTACATATTTGTCACATAGTTATTGTTATTCGTGTCTCTTATGGA